GACATCATGTTCGAATGTTCATACAAAGACAAACCCTATAAACTCTTGCAGGAACAAAAAAAAAGAACTAAAGTTGAGACTTAGTATTATTTATTGTAGAAATATTATTAAAAAAAAAAAAAAAGAGAGGGTCATCTCGAGGCGACACGAGCACTTTTCCGGCGATTCCTCCCACCACACACTACACACCATTGAAACTCTCCAAAGTTTTTCTTTGGATTCCCGTGAACCACTCCCTCTCACTCTTTTGCCCCCTCAGAATTTTCCACCGGTTTTCGTGTTATTCACTATATATATATATATATATAAATTAGTTACAATTGAAAAAGTGATATGAGTGTCCTAAAATTGTTAAAATTTGGTATACTAATTCGTGGCATCACACTTTCAAGTTTTATAACCATCTAATTGTGATTTAGCTAAAATTAAACCCTATTATTAAAACCGGGCAATGTTTATAAAACACCGTACCAAACTTGATTATTAATATTATGTTTGAACTAGAAAAAAAAGTTCAAATATCATAAATGATTGTATTATATATATTTATATATAAATATATTAATATGTTCAGATCTAGTAGATATACTCGTATACTTATAAATAGGCATATTTTTATACTTCCTAATTAGAATTAGTCTTATTAGTTGTTGAAAATAGGTGCCTCTGATTTCACTAGATCATATCTATAGTTTTTTTTTTCTTCTTAATAATAGTAGGATTTTGAGATGAAGCCCAAACTAAAACCTAGAAATTGTGAAAAAAAACCAATAGCCTTACCGTTTAAAACATTCTAAAAAATCAATCAAAATTATTGACGATGTGGAAAAACTCAAATCTTATTAACGTTCGAAATGATATTTAGAAAAAATCATCGGTATCCTCATGTGTGAACATTATTATGTTTAATAAACAGCCTACATATAAAGACATCACTATGCTGAAATTTGTTCATTAATATTCTTCATGGACTACCGCATATAGAAAATAACAATCTAGTACTGGCATACATAATTTTACAGCACTTACTAAACCGATTTGTTCGAGTAAAGTCGATGATTTTAACAGCAGTCTCGGGAAGTCTCGACTTTGTGATGGTGGATAAACTTAAGTGGTTCTTAGCACAAGGTTTCAAACATGAAATTCATCAAAGGACATAACTGTATAATATAATCGCCAAATAAGAAAAAACACGAAAAATAAATATTGGAATTCTATAGTGTTTCATAATTCAGTAACCCAAGTTGATTAATTTACCTCTTTACTCTAAATGTGCTAGTTTCCCAAGACTGCTTGTAAATTAGGATAAAATGATGCAAGTATAGCATTTATTCGCTTTCTAATATTTTTTTGTCCACTTTATATAGTTTTTAAGAATACACCTAATTTCGTTTTCTGGTTTATGTTTTTTTTTGGAAGTGTAAGAACTATTTTTTAAAAAAAAAAAAATATACAGATAATGAGATGACATACAGTATATAATAAACAGATAAACTAAGAGGTAGCATACGTTAAAAAGGAACAATTTTGATAATTTTCTCTCTGGGGTGTTTTAATGAGCTTAACTTTTTTTTTATAGTATTAACTAACTATAGCACGTTGTTTATTCCATGCATAATATTTGAAACAAAAATGGTGTACACTTCACAGACTCACAGTTCACAATATATATGTAATATGTACGTGACTTTGACAGTGATTCGATGTATATTATTCTATATATCATTCACATAAACTCGAATATATATTAGGTTTTGCACATCCTTTGATGCATGCATATAAGATGAATGCATGCGTACAATATAGTGAATGAAAGAATATATATAGGAATGGTTCAAAGTATCTACTAGCTATAATGAATAAATATGGTTTAATGAGTTTTAGGAACCAAAAAAAAACCATGGTTCAAAGAACTACTGTTTCAGCACTATCAGATCCATATTAAATTCAATACTACGATATTCTGATTTTGCACCATCTTAGACTGTATGAAAAAAAAAACAGTGGATTGGGATTGTAAATATATATATATATATATTTGTTTTCCTCTTTCATGCATATTAATTTTAAAAATGCCTTGATTACTTTATCGAAAGAATTTCCAATTTCTCTATGCATTTTCTTTGTTCAATTATGTTCTTTTTGTAGATCGCATGCAAAGCCGACTGATTGGAAATAGAATCGACAAGATTTATGACGGTGGAGATATCATAAGAATAAGGCAGCAAAATCTGAAACGTCGCGAATAAAAAAAGAAGTCAAATAATCGGTGATAGCCGGTGACTGAAGTCAGCAAATTGCACCATCTCTTCACTCTTCTCGACACACATTTCAACTCATTAGATTCTTCCAATCTTCCCCATCTCGGTAAGTTTTTTTTTGGGACGAAACCTGAAGAATTCCTTTTAGAAGTCGATTTGATCATTTGTAATAATTCAATAATATTCTAAGTTTTTTTTAAATTGGATCGAGTTACTCTTTTCCTAATCACTCAATTTCCATATTTCTATCAAAAACTTTTTAACTTTTGTTTTTCTCTTTCTTCTCTTCTCTTGTCTGACTCCTAGCTACTATCGCATTTTACTTTTTGTGTGTGTGTGTGTATTTGAACAAGAGAAACTAATTCTAAAACATATCCGAACTTGGTTTGGTAAGTACTTTACAACTAAACCTTTTTAATGCTCTTGGATTTTTTATTTTTATTTATTTGACAGTTATGCCTTCTGCATGATTCAAAAAATATATTTTGGAACTTTTTTTGGATTTATAGCAGTTCACCTCATTTTTAATTTCTCAAAAAAATTACGATAATTATTAATGTGAATATTAGGTGGGGGTATTCGAGAATTTAGGAGAATGCAAATGAATTTAAAATTTCATTTTGTCTTACTTGCGATGTTTTCTCAGTCAAACTCACCGTCATTTATATTTTAAATTCAGGAAAAAGCTATTAATTTGGCGGGAAAATGTCGTAAAATACTAAATTGGCAACAGGTGATTCCTTTTTGTCCATTACGTTACTTAAATCTTCTAAAATAATTATGAATCAGATCACTGTTTCCTTACATAGACAATCATATGATCAGATCACTGTTACATTATTTCGTATTTGATTATTGTTCTTTAGATTCTAGGAGCATTAATTATCTGAGACGCAGCAGTCTGAACTCTGAGTAAGTTCAGTTTGGAAGAAAGCGAAAATAGGAAATTTATTTTGTTTTTTAAGAATTTTTATAATATAGAACTTCGTTACATCGTTGCCTAAAATAATGTAAAAAAATAATGTAAAAAAGAGAAAAATATTTATATGACATATTATGAGCGCCCTAACCTTCTTTTGTGTTTTTGGAGATGTCAAATTAAATCTACAAACAAATTTACGTTAGTTAATTACGTACATTGTTTGGCATAAATTGTTTTTTTCAATTATTTTTGTGTTGAGAATTTTAGAAAAATAGTTAGTAGTGTATGTATGAAGGTAATAATCGATCTTACAATGTAGAATATTAAAGCTAAGATTATAAATTAGTACCAAATGAATACAATAGTGTCTTCACATGGGGACTCGTTTTCTTTTCTTGTTGAAAGGATGTACTAATATACTAGTGTATAGTGTTAAATATTGACTGATTCTCTCTTACTGAGTAGTATAATTAAGTATTGTACACATACAATAATAGGAACGTTGTTATGGATGAAACACTAAACAAAGGGCTGGCTCCTAGCACAATACAACCTTCTAGTTTGTATAGGACATTAGTAATTAGCTTTAACACTTAAATATTATTTAGTTCAAAAAAGCATTTAAATATTATGTCGAAAAAAATATTATATTATTTTGTTTTCATTTAATTCTAAATTATCAAGCAATATCTCTCTTTGACGGGTGCGAAGTCCGATTAACTGGTCAACAGATTTTAACTCGGGAAAACCAAAACAAAATCCCACCCCAATTCTTTTTCCATTTTCTAATTTTATTTTTACATGAGAAAATATAGTATATAAATACTAGAATATTTTTTGTGAAAGAATTATGAATTATCTAATCTAAACAAATACGAAGATATTTTGTTTCTCTTGTTTGTATTCAAATTAATTTGAATGAAGTGTGACTTTTACTCTTTCCAAGTGCTTTGTTACTATTTAATTAATAACGTCGCTTAATTTAATATTGCATATCCGTACACACATGCAGAAGATGAGTGAACTCGGGGATCTACAAATATACTACTAGTTTAAGAGGATCGACCCAAATTGTTGTTATGTGTATATTATCTTTGATTCATATCAATGTGATTGCATGTATGTGTACACGTAGACGTATACGAATACGTAGCCATGCGCTTACACATGTATTTGAATATGTAAGTACATGTGTATTGTATATGTAAAGAAGAGAGAGAGAATGGTCAATGGTAAGAGAGTGCGAGATGATTTGCAGAGTGTGGGAATGCTGGGCTTTGGGGAGTCATTAATCGCATTAAACGAGGGACGTGAGTTCCGATAATCCAAGTGGGGTAATTTAGAGAGAGAGATACATATTTTAATTTTGTTTGGTTTTTAATATAAGTGATAAATTTGCTTTTAGGGTTTGGATTGTTTCCAGTTGGAAGCGTAGATTTGTCTTACTTACAACACTCGTGTCCCTATTTATTGCAATATCATATCCAGATACAGTCCAACATATGAAGTGTAATATTCTTTATATATATTTTAGTCACTTTTTGTAATTGACAACATTAACTTAAAGTCACTTCAATGTATAATTTTTGATATAATAATATGTGGTTGTGCATGATACTTAATGAAACTTTACTCTATTTCCATACCTATATATATACTTTCAACATTTTATGGTTGATAATTAAATTACGGCAACCAGCCAACCCTTAATGAGATTTTAAATTATAATTTAAAGCGACCCATGTAATAGGTTTAACTTTAAAACCTGTTTAGCTTCCGAAAAATAATTTTAAGACTTTTACTCATGTCTTCGTCTCCTTTGTTTAAACCCCTCAAGTTATCGAGGAGAGAGAGATAGAGTGTTTAGAGAGACAAACTATAAGGTAGAGATTTGTTGCAGTCATTTTAATTAGAGAGAAAAACAAGATCTCTTCCTCTTCTCCATCTTTGATAACTAACCTTTCTTCATCATAACATTTCTCTTCACTAAAGTTGCAATTCTTAAATCTCTCTCTTTATCTCTTGAAACATCTCTAATCAATTTGTGTTTCTTCTCAATTCCAGATCATATATATCAAACTGATTTAGGATTTGATTCCTAAAAGAAGAAAAGAAAATGAATTCTAACAACTGGCTTGCCTTTCCTCTATCACCATCTCACTCTTCTTTGCCTCCTCACATCCACTCTTCACAAACCTCTCATTTCAATCTCGGGTTGGTCAACGACAACATCGACACCCCTTTCCAAAACCAAGGTATATGCTATGAAACTTTTTTACTAATAAAACATATATAGTATTTGTTATGAGGGTCTAAATTCATATACCCATTTTAATAAAATTATAGTAATTTCTCTTAAATCAAAACCATATTCAAATGTACTAGCTAGTTGCACATGTTTAAAGACTGTCATGTTCATATAATTATGTTTATGTATAGGATCTAGATTCTTGTTTTTGTTTTCACAAAAAAAATATATTGTATGTTTACTTAGAATGGAATATGATCAATATACACGGTGGAGGCGGCGAAGGAGGAGAGGTTCCAAAAGTGGCTGATTTCTTAGGAGTTAGCAAATCGGAGAATCATCAACCCGACCACAACCTCGTACCTTACAACGACATTCATCAAACCAACGACTCAGATTACTACTTCCAAACCAACAGCTTGTTACCTACAGTCGTCACATGTGCCTCCAACACTCCTAATAACTATGAGCTTCAAGAGAGTGCCCACAATTTGCAATCTCTCACTCTTTCCATGGGAAGCACCGGAGCCCCTGCCGCATCAGCCGCCACCGTGAAAGCCTCGCCGGGTGAAACTAGCGCCGATAATAGTAGTAGCACTACTAACACAAGCGGAGGAGCCATCGTTGAAGCTACACCAAGACGGACCTTGGAAACTTTTGGACAACGAACCTCAATCTATCGTGGCGTTACAAGGTCTTAATGATATTATTTCATTTTTTTTCTTGGTCTAGTAACTTAAAGGGTATATAAATATGTTTTCTTTTTCTTTGGGGGTGTTATAGACATAGATGGACTGGTAGATATGAAGCTCATCTTTGGGATAATAGTTGTAGAAGAGAAGGACAATCAAGGAAAGGAAGACAAGGTAAGCGTAGTCATTTATTTGATTAATTACTTAATAAGTTTGCTCTTTCTGGTCTTGTCTCGGTCGAAATCTTGATATTGGACTAATTATGTTCCTCACTATTATTATTTTCTTGATGCCTGAATCTTGGACTTCATCGCAATGTCTACAGTCTACTTAGGTGAGTATATACACCATTCTTGTTTTTCTTGATCTCGATTATTCTTTGATTTAAAAACATAGGAATGTTTTGTTTAATCGGTTTATAATTAAATTCAGGTGGGTATGATAAAGAAGAGAAAGCAGCAAGAGCATATGATTTAGCTGCACTTAAATATTGGGGCCCCTCTACTACTACCAACTTTCCTGTACGTTATTTCAAACTTTCATGGACTTATAAGCGTATATATTTTATTTTTGTTTCTAATCGTAATAATGGTTCATAATATCCTTATTTTCTACTACCTTTCTTTTGTCACATATTTTAGATTACTAACTACGAGAAGGAAGTGGAGGAGATGAAACACATGACGAGACAAGAGTTTGTGGCTTCTATAAGAAGGTGCTTTTCCATTTGTTCTTCAAGAATTATCTGGAACGTACCGATCTTTGCATAGAAATGTCAGTTTTATAATCAAAGAACCTCGTATTCGATCGATTGCAGGAAAAGTAGTGGATTCTCGCGTGGTGCATCGATGTATCGCGGAGTAACAAGGCATCATCAACATGGAAGATGGCAAGCAAGGATTGGCCGAGTTGCCGGAAACAAAGATCTCTACTTGGGAACTTTCAGTAAGTATAGGCTAACTCTTATCAAGTTAATAGTATCTTTATTCTGATGATATACAAGACCGTCTCATATTATTTGGAGACTACTAGATTTAACGTTAAAATTTAATATTCCACCTGAATAGATGATGGTCATGCTCATATATTCATATGTTTTCCTAGGCACGGAGGAAGAAGCAGCAGAAGCATACGACATAGCTGCAATAAAGTTTCGAGGCCTAAACGCGGTTACAAACTTTGAGATAAACCGCTACGACGTGAAAGCCATACTAGAGAGCAACACACTTCCTATAGGAGGTGGTGCAGCTAAAAGGCTCAAAGAAGCTCAAGCACTAGAATCATCAAGAAAACGCGAGGAAATGATAGCTCTCGGCTCAAATTTCCATCAGTATGGTGCACCTAATGGCTCCAGTTCTGTTGCCTCGAGCTCTAGGCTTCAGCTTCAACCTTACCCACTAAGCATTCAACAACCTTTTGAGCATCTTCATCACCAGCCTTTACTTACTCTACAGAACAACAACGATATCTCTCAGTATAATACCAACCCTCATGATTCCTATAGTTACATTCAGACGCAGCTTCATCTTCACCAACAACAGACCAACAATTACATGCAGTCTTCTAGTCACAGCTCGCAGCTCTACAATGCTTATCTTCAGAGCAACCCTGGTTTGCTTCACGGATTTGTCTCTGACAATAACAACAACACTTCAGGGTTTCTTGGAAACAATGGGATTGGTATTGGGTCAAGCTCGACCGTTGGAACATCGGCAGAGGAAGAGTATCCGGCAGTTAAAGTTGATTACGATATGCCTCCTTCAGGTGGAGCCACAGGGTATGGAGGATGGAATACTGGAGAGTCTGTTCAGGGTTCGAATCTAGGTGGTGTTTTCACAATGTGGAATGAATAAAAGGTTTCTTTTTGTTCTGTGTTTCTTGCGAGGTAAGGTATGTTCTGAATAATTACTATTCTTTTCTTGTTTCGCAAGCAATAGGATCGGCTGGAGTCTTCTTGATTAGCAGAGGTTTTAGTTTATTTTTAATTTTACTTTTGACGGCGAAGATGATGAATTTGTAGACGGCGGTTAACAGAGTCCTCGAGGGTTAGGGTTTTATGGGTACTAAAATAAGATTAGAAAGTACCCAAATTTTGTTTAAAAAGCTAACCCTTCTGACTAATTTCTCAAACTTGTAATTCGTTTATAATCAGATATTTCGATTTCCTCAATTTAGTCTTATATATCATGCTTATTTCTGAAATTATAACTATTTTCATAGTGTAACTTAGTAACTATCTGCATGTGAATAACTTTGCCTCTCAACTTTCCACATACCGAGATTTTGTTTGCTTGAAATTTCAGTCTTTTCACAAAACTTAAAAACTAGTATATATTTAAATACGTGCGATTGTTTGGTGAATTCATTTTATTTTACGACTTTAATTTATTGATTTAGAGAAGCAGAATGTAGTGGTTGAGTCTAACATGTGTCTTTCCCTTATACAAATTATCTAACGTTTAAAAATAATTTGAAAGATGGACACCTTATTAATTTTTTTTCTGCAGATGAAAACCTTAGTAATAAAATGTTTTTTTATTAAACTTCTAGTGTGCATTAGTCCTATAGATTTGTACGTAAAAGGTACAAGAACTATTAACACTTATATATATTTGATTCACCAGTTTAATTTCGTCATACGGTCTTATACCTTAAATGAAAAGTCTTTACCAAATGCTCGTATATTTCTGTATAGAAACCAAACACGGTGGTCTCCGTCCACCTTCAGACATCACAAACGTAAGAAATTTCACACAACTTGATCTTGTAATTTAATAATGATAAAATAATACGTACAATCATTCTCTCTTAAGCCTACCCTTAACCAGCCATTGGCTTGTAGCCTTATAGGGAACGACTTTAACAAAATCATTTGCCCTCAAGAGCACTCCTCTCCACATAAAGAGCTGTCAATTGGGGCAGGTTCTCCGTGGGTAGCACAATCCAAATTGTTGGATTCGACCGGAATTACTCCTATTTTTTCTCAAAGATGTTTGGTTTGTGTTTGTCTAATGTTCTTTTCGATGTTTAAAAATTGTTCTTCTCGGGTCATACCAGATGTTAGTAGCCTCAAGTATTTAGACCAATCTCATTTTGTTCTACTATATATATACAAGTTGGTATCCAAAATCTTGGTTCTCCGACTGAAGTTAGTTCTTTTAGATCTTATCTTCCAAACCAAACAACAATTTTATCAAATGTCGGCTTGTTACAAATAACTCAACAATGTTCAGGACTATAAAAAAAAAAATGAGAGCATAAATAGGCAGTACAAAAGCTTTTGAGTTATTTGTTGTGATTTTGTTATGAATGGCTTCCCACCCATTAATATTCCAACTCAATTCATTGCTTGGGTCAACGCATGCTAAATTGCTAACAGTTTCTACTTATTCATTTGGGACATTGGGTAGTAGTTTCAGGGTTGTAGGGGTTTGAAACAAGATGATCCCCTTTTTCCTTATACGTACCTTTGTCATTGCAATGAACTACTTATCACATACTTTGAACAAAGCTGTAAAGGAAGAATTGTTTGGTTATCATGATTAATGTTATATAATGAAAGTAAGCTTATTCATATTTTCTTTGTTGACGACTTGCTCTACAGCTTGCCATCATGATTAATGGATAGATGGCCAGAAAGATATATATCAGGCTCCTTCTAGCCAGTTGCTCCGTCTCTGATCAATATTCAAATCATGTGAGGATCATTCCCATTCTTAAGACTTGAATACTATTACTAAGAGGATGAGATTCTTACGTTCAAAGATTTCACACATATTGATGTTTAAATCCTCTACATTTTAAGTTTGCAGTGATATTATCTCTTTTACTCAACAGAAAATAATAAGATCGAGCTAGCTAACTCGCAGTAATTAGAAAGAAAAAAAAAACATAAAGCAGAAAGGTATATTCTTATAACTTGGCATATGAACATCTATATTTTATTTGTATTTTAGTATAAGCAAAAGATTTATGTCATTTTCAAATTATTGGTAATTTTTGAAAAAGTACTGTCTAGTTCCATTTCGAAAAGAGTGGGTAAATATTTGTAAGCATAGTAAACCTTTATTCAAAAATGTAAAAAATGAATTGAAATTTGAAATGAGTAGTAAAGGAAAAAAAATCAAAAGAAGGAGCCAGTCAGATACGTACACGTCATAGCCGACTCTAGCACAAACGGTGTGAATGAAAAAATATAAAACATCGCTAAAATAAAATCGTCGAGAGAAACCAACCTTTTTCCTCTCCTCTACCTCTCAGCTTCTGCTGGATCTCTCCAGCAAACGATCTTGTTTGGAGAGATTCGTAGGGTAAGTGGTTTCTCATTCATTTCTATTTTGCTTTCATGTGTTTATATCGGTTCTGTGTCTCGATTTCGCTTCCAATTTCGATTTCCCCTTTGTATTGGGAGGTTTCTCTGTCGACTTATGTGGTGGGTTTTGTCTGTTTTTATTGATTAGGGACCGATCGATCAAGGCTTCTCGGGCAAACAGGTAAAAATAGCTTTTTGGTATTTGATTTCTAGTTTTATTTAGGGTTCAATTCTAAGCTGGTGATTTTGAATAACAGCTTGAGTTTATGATTTTCGACTGTGTAATGATTTGTTTGCTGGGTATTATCTGCATGTGGGTTTTGTTTGTTTTTGAAATTTGAATTGAATTGCTGTGAAAAGTTTTAATTATGATATAAAAGGTTAATTTTGAACCTTTCATTTCTGTGAAGGAATGTAGTGTTGGATGGAAGTGAGATTAGCTATGTGGGTTTTATGCTTTTAAACTTTGATCTGAACTGTTATGAAAGTTCTTAGCTTTTCTGCTGATATAAAAGGCTAGTTTCTAACATTTCATTTTCCGTTAAGAAAGGTAGTGAGTGTTTGATGGAAATGAAATCAGCTATATGCCTATATCGGTTTTGTATTTTTTAGAAATTTGAAATGATTTGTGACAAAAGTTCTTAGCTTTTATGCTGATATGAAAGGCTAATTTCTAACATTTCGTTTCTGTGAAGGAACTTTGTAATGGATAGAAGTGATTTTAGCTGCTCTGCTGTTTATAAATGATTCATTTACACTTCTATTTGCGTAATATCAGGTATTGTTTTTTTGGTATTAGCTGCAAGGCTGCTTAGATATTGCAGTCTGTTCGGGTAGCTGATAATTGGCAATCAAGCTTGAGGATTATGTGTTTGTGTTTTTAGATTTTAATGTTGGCAGAAAAATGGTTCTAGGCTTGTTTTACTCGGTTTTCTCCATCTTTTGACATCTTAAACCATCATAAGAGGGTTCCCTAAGAAGTTCGGTAATAGGTTATGAGACCATGTGTAGAGTTTATCAAAAACATTATGTTCGTTTGCTTCTGGGTTGTGTTTATTTGTTTCTGAGACGTTAGTAAAACATAGTGAATTCGTAGTTATTGTCAAGATTTGTGTACTTTTTATACTTTACTGAGGATGATCTTTTTGAAGTACAGAAATGGACCACGACAAGACAGGATGCCAAAGCCCACCTGAAGGTCCCAAGCTATGTGTCAACAACTGCGGTTTCTTCGGAAGCGCTGCCACAATGAACATGTGTTCAAAGTGTCACAAGGCTATGTTGTTTCAACAAGAGCAGGGGGCTAAGTTTGCATCTGCAGTGTCTGGAATATCATCATCGACCAACATCATGAAGGAAACCCTTACTGCTGCGTTGGTTGATGGCGAAACCAAATCTGTCGAGCCGATGGTTGTCTCTGTACAGCCATCCTCTGTCCAAGCCGTTGCAGAGGTAATTGCACCAGAAGAAGCTGCAAAGCCAAAGGAAGGACCAAGCCGATGTACAACTTGCAATAAACGGGTAGGCTTGACTGGATTCAAGTGTCGCTGTGGTAACCTCTTCTGTGGGACACACCGGTATGCAGACATACATAACTGCTCCTTCAATTACCATGCTGCTGCGCAAGAAGCTATAGCTAAAGCAAACCCGGTTGTGAAGGCAGAGAAGCTTGACAAAATCTGAAACTCGAAACTCTGTTTTCAGGTACACCGTATGTTTCCTTTATCCTGTCTGTGTCTGGTTCAAGGTGTCTCTCATGTTAAAAAAAGGGTTTTACATATGGTCGAACGAACAAAAGCGTGGGTTGATCTTTAGCTTCTTCCATCTCTCTGCAATATTTGTGGTGTGAAAGTTTCTATTATCTGTGTTTGCAAGCAGAGAAATGTGCTCTTAAAAATGTATGCTTTGATGTGTTTCTCTTATTATTTATGAGCACTGTGTTTATGTTTCCCGTATGGTCTGTATCATACTGAGATTGTATCTGTAGCTATATTGAAGCTTAAATGCTTATGTTTGTCCTTCAATGGAGGTTTTAGGTCTCAGGCTCTGATTCAGTTTCATTTCTCTGGTTGGCGAGCTATGTATGTAACTTTGCTTTGCAAAGTCATGAACATTAACATGTGGGTCGATGAAGACTCAAGAGCTCGCTTCTCTGGGTTCTGATTACGAACACACGTAACCGGGTACACCGGTTCCAATACCACTGACCCAATAACTCATTAATTTGTCCCCCTTGTGCACTGTAATGATTATCTGCTTAATTATTTATGGGTACCAAAAAAGACAACTAAAATTAATAATAACTAAATTTAGTAAATGCTGAGTATTTGATTGATAAAGTCACGTTTTACAACTATTTTATTTATAAAAACAAATAAAAATGGCGCAACACAAAATTCAAGGGACAAACGGATAAGCATACCAAAAAAGAAAAAAAAAGAAGAAGAGAATAACATGTTGGAGAGAATTAAAATAAAATAGCAAAATTACATTATGGTAAATTTGGCTGCTATATCTTTATTGCATATTGGAGAAACGTGGGTTGAGATCATATAATATGTCATGAAATATTCTTCTGTAGACACAAGTTGAACTGAATTAGTACAACTTATTTGATACAAAATTTCGGAACTGAACAGACTATTTATCAAGATTCGACGTTCACCATGGCCCATGGGTAAAGCAGTCGGACTAAAGCCCAAGTAACCAATTCAATCGCGGTAACATCGAATTCGAAACTGTAGAAAGTTGACGTCATTGACCCTAAAACATATAAGAGCAAGTCCAGTAGTAAACTCCATAAAGGGGTTCATCAGCATTTAAAAACAATATTTTTTGGTTTGGGTAGTTTGGGAATAAGTCTGGTGAAAACAGGGTTCCAGTAGTGAACTCCATTTTGGGGTTCATCCCGAAAAAAAAAAAATATTTTTTAAAGAAATAAATTGAAAGAGTGTTAAAACACCAACAACAACAATGTTTGACAAACACCAACAACAACAAGAGTTATACAAGTAGTTTTACATAAAGAAAGAGTGTAAATTTTTTTCAAGGCCCAGCGTGCTTGCTCCAAAGTACATTCCCGAGCACGCTGATCGAACCCCGCCTTATCTTCTTTATAGAGCTTCGCTTTGGCTTCATCGTAATAGTCCCCCTCATCAGAAAAGGTAATAACGACGGAATCGCCCTGAATCGCCAAAGAACACGAACGAGAGAAGAAAAAAATCGGGGAAAGAGAAAATGTTTTCTTTCTGTGGTTTTTTTTTTCCCCCAAAATGACGCGTTTTCCACAACCAATCGACAGATGCCATGTGGTTCGCATGCGGAGTCTTCAAGGTCGTCGGGATGAACCGCCCCTTCTGAGTTGGGCTTTTTTTTTTTTTTTAAAATTCAAAATGTATATGATTTTGTGCCCAAAATTGAGGAAGACCCTCTAATGGACCTGGTCTAACAGCTATACCAATACATGCGGGTTAACTTCATAAATATTTTTTTTTCGTTATTTTCTAACTGCTAATCAGCCTCGATTCAGTGAAAATGATAGTCCGAGATAATGTTTGTTTTTGTATTGAAAGATCAGACCGCCCATACCAAGGTTATAGAAATCATGAAAATGAAGAAAAATATTATGAATATTTACCAATATTTTAGTTTAGAAAATTTACTTTATCTTTAAAAGATATTATCTACATTTATGTTTAAGTCTAGATTTATCTCTATATAAGAGAATGTAACTTGTACAATTATTTTTATGAGAGTCTAAGAAGGTGTTCTTCAATCATGAATTTATAATAAATTTTTTAAGTTTTATAATTTTTTAGATTTAAAAATTGATATCAGTTTTATGGATTTATTTGTTTAATCAAAAATCTCTGTAATATACATAAATTTTTTATTCTAATAATTTACTCATAAAACTTTATTGGAATTGATTTGAAATGATTTAATACACAAAAAGTTAAAAGTCATTTAATTTTGAATAACATTAATGAAAGATTTGAAGTGTTCATTGAATAACGCCAAATTCTAAAATTTCTTTGATTTACAATCAAAAGATCTGATAACATTGAATTTTAAAAGTCATCATGATCTTCCACTAATATTTTTTTCTAATTTATGTTTTTTCTAAAGGATTTTTTTTCTAATTTATGTAGTTTCTATTTAGATCAGATGATACAGATATGTTACTAAGTTAAACTTTGTTTTTCTCTTTTGGGTACGACATGAAATTTAGACATGCTGAAATAATATAATAAGAAGTTAAGAACCAATTTAATGACGTCCAAATTAAAAAGAGAAAAATCTAGAATTAATAGTTGTACACATGCATGATATCACAATGGGTTGGAAAGTACGTAACAGAATCATATTAATGAAGATTTATAAAATGCCAACGAATGTATCAAATTGCATTACGTAACCATCATTTTACATCCAACTACCGTCGTAAACGATAAACGCCAAAAATGACCGGAAAAATGCCGCAGCTGCCGCCACCGGGATTAAAACGCGACGGTTTAAAAGCGCACATCATGGTGTTTCCTTATCCAGCACAAGGCCACTTGCTTCCTCTTCTCGACTTAACTCATCATCTCTGTCTCCATGGCGACATCACAGTCTCGATTATAGTCACTCCTAAAAACCTTCCTTACCTCTCTCCTCTTCTCTCCGCTCATCCCTCTACCGTCTCCGCCGTCACTTTACCTTTCCCTCACAATCCTTCACTCCCTCCCGGCGTTGAAAACGTCAAAGAACTCGGCTGTTCCGGTAATCCTCTGATTATGGCTTCTCTACGTCAGCTTCGAGAGCCTATCATCAACTGGTTAAGTTCTCATCCCAATCCTCCTGTCGCTCTCATCTCTGATTTCTTCCTTGGATGGACCAACGATCTCGGTATTCCTCGCTTTGCCTTCTTCAGCTCTGGAGCATTCTTAGCTTCGATTCTCCATTTCGTCTCTGATAAGCTTCATATATTTGAATCAACTGAGCCTGTTTGTTTCTTGGATCTTCCTCGTTCCCCTGTTTTCAAGACAGAGCATCTCCCGTCCTTAATCCCACAATCTCCATCTTCGCAAGATCTTGAAAGTGTCAAAGACACCACGAGGAATTTTTCGAGCTACGGTTGCGTTTTCAACTCTTGTGAGTGTCTTGAAGAGGAATACATGGAGTTTGTGAAGCAGAAAGTGGGTCATAACCGTATTTTTGGTGTTGGCCCGCTTTCTTTAATCGGGTTAGGTAAGGGAGATTCATATTCCAATGTAGACGTCAAGGCCTTGGTGAGTTGGCTCGACGGATGTCCAGATGGATCAGTGCTATACATCTGCTTCGGAAGTCAAAAAGTGTTAAGTAAAGACCAATGTGATGCTCTGGCTCTTGGTCTCCAAAAGAGCATGACCAGGTTCGTTTGGGTGGCTAAGACAGACCCAATACCTGATGGGTTCGAGGATCTCGTTGCGGGTCGAGGGTTGATTGTTAGAGGTTGGGCTCCTCAAGTGTCTGTGTTGAATCACGTGGCTGTTGGAGGATTTTTAAGCCATTGTGGATGGAACTCGGTCCTGGAAGCGATGGCTAGCGGAAAAATGATCTTGGCATGGCCCATGGAAGCAGACCAGTTTGTGGATGCAAGGTTGCTGGTGGAGCATATGGGTGTGGCGGTTAGTGTATGTGAAGGGGGTAAGACTGTACCTGATTCAAATGAGTTGGGTCGGGTCATAGCTGAAACAATGGGTGAACACGGACAAGAGGTGCGTGCTCAGGCTAAGGCGATGGGACGAAATGCACAAGCTGCGATGGAACCAGGAGGAAGCTCTAGTGCAGATTTAGAAAGACTTGTCAAAGAACTGAGATCTTTATAAAGAATTAAAGATAATGATGTGGTTCCAAATGATAAAAATACTTTTAAGAGGTTTATCCAAATAAAAAGGAGTTTTCAATTTTTTACAAGTTATTATTGATTATGGTTGTGCATCACCTGAAGAAAAAAAACAATCATCTTACTAGGTAAGAGCCTCACTAAGAAGTACAATAATTTGAACTTGTGGTTTATAACAGAGAAAATTTGGAATACTACGATTTATGAAAAATACCAAAACAATTTAAAATACTGATGGAAACAATAACAACAACAACAAAAGTTCCACTTCTAGACACATGGGCACTTCTGCTTTTAAAATTGCAAAAATAATCTCACTCAGTTATTCAAATTTTCCTTCAACCCCATATGGTTAGGAGGTTGGCCTGGATAAAATACCTGAAACCGAAAATCGAATTGGAATCAAACTAAATCGAACCAAAATTTAAATGGATATCCGAAATATATGAAATATAATTATATGATTAAAGGTTGGTCCGGATAAGTACCTGAAACCCAAAAATCTAATTGGAATTAAATTGAACCATACCGAAATCCAAATGGGTATTCATAATATATGAAATACACTTGTATATTTAATTTGTGTATATCAGGTATGAAATACCGCTTCGGAGTTGTTAAGTTTAAAGTGGTTAGGGGACAATTCAGGATATGTTGATTCTATGAATGGGTTAAATTAAGTTCGAGTCCATGAAGTTTTATATATTGCGTTTTTTTTTTTCATTTTCTTTATCATTTGCTTTGATTAAACAGGTTGGCAAGTGTTCTTTTACTTTTTTTTTTGACACTTTTCTCCTTATTTTTCTGAATCTTTGACACCTTTAAAGGGGCCATATATCATATTATTTGATAACAAGATTATATAAATCACATCTATCAAACAAATACGGTATATAATTTGACTAACTATTTAAAGTAGTCTTGAGTCATGATGAAGTAGTAGTGACTGAACAAATGCAAAGATCGATATAAAAGATGAAGTTTCTGATAATCATTCTCAAAGACAATACAAGGATATATAGCTCGTAGAGCATATCTACATTCCTAAAGAGATATACATCGGATCATTTACAGAGCAACTATTAAGGCAAGAAGTTATGAGTAATTGATACCATATCAATGACTAAAGATACGATACGCTATTAGTGACTAACTTTTTTTTTCAACAAGTTACACTCACAAGTCTACCTTTTTAACGCACGAGCAACATCAGGTACTTGCTAGTATTTCTTTCACCATTTCTATTGTATATCTCGAGTGTACCATCCTCCATATAATGTATCTGCAGTAATTGATTGATGATGATTAAGCCAACAACTTAACTAATATATATATATATATATATATATATATATATATAATGCTGCTCTACGAATAACATTCATCCGGATTTATGTAGATGCCAATACATCATCACTTGTGCACGTTCTCCATCATACTTAAGAAGCTTGAAGCTGCTCAAGATTACGCCTCTATAGAAAATACATAAGATTATCTTACGTAAACGGAACAATATCTTTAGTTAAAAAACCAAAAAAAAAAAGCATTAATAAATTAACCAGCGCAAAGAAAAATAACTAAGAAACGAAGAACACATGCATACAATTAATTAATTGCATGGAGACCAAAAGTGAACAATCAAAACAAAATTAACACTCGTTGTTGTTGCAATCATCTTGTTGCTCGATATCAGAAGCAGCCTCATAGTTGTCATCATGATCTCCTCCAAAGCTATCAATCCCACAAGGAACATGACCATTACCAAAAGCCTTGACGTGGTCTTTAAGCGATCTCTTGTGCTTAAAATCCGAGCCACAAGAGCAATACCAAAGTTTACCACAATTCTTCTCATGTGTTCTCCAATCTCCTTTCACTGCAAAGGCCTTGCCACATCTGCGGCAAGCAAAAGGTCTAGATCCGTGTTTGCGCTTGTAATGGGTTTGGAGGGTTCGAAAATCCTTGAGAGGCTTGGCTCGCGGGTGGTCGATGTTGTTCTTGCATCCCGGTGCGCAGCAGAAACATGGTAGTCTTAACATTCCTGTTGGTTGAGTTCCTCTTAGAGACTCTGGTCCCTTTCTGTATTGTGAGCCGTGTCCCCACATGTGCATCTACAATATAAAACGTTTTCATGTCATAAATCATAAAGTAGTCATCAGTCTTAGAAAGTATTAGTTTAAGTCTAGGAAACATGCTATTATGGTTGGTATTGTGAGTCTATGACTCTGGATTAGATTTTATCAACGTTTGGAAAACAGTAAATTCAAATCGCAAACGCAAACCTAAACGTATTTCATTTTGGTTTATGTTGTATTTACACATTTATATATAATTTTTAAACATTATTTTAAACATTAAAATGTCATATATATATATATATATTTCAAATAAACTCAATAATTTAACATATGAACATAAACAAAAAGAAACCAAAGGCTTATATAAGATATAAAAGCTTTTAACAAAACAAAAAGAGATGTTAATGTATAAAAAACTATAGGTAAGTTCTATATATAGGTCTTAGCCTCTTTACTTCATGTAAAAGTTTGCTTTTGGCATGAAATAATTATCAGCTGTATCTAGCTTTTGTGTGACGGCAAAAAAAAGCTTTTGTGTAGTATATATATAAACAAAACAAAGTCTATATTCACAAATAATCTGCTAGACATAAATCCTCCTTACCGTTTAGATTTTTTTTGTTTTTAATGGGTTTTATAAGTTCACAAAAATCAAGAGAGACAATAAAGATGGAGGTGGACTAAGCATGTTTCAGGGTTATAAAGAGTCTGTCTGACAAAAAGACTGTTGGTTAAAGAAGATCTTCTGACTTAATTGGTAAGTTGATCTTACATAGCCACCATCATTCAACACCCTGAAACCGATTTGACGTGTACCATCAAATTTGTAAAAGAGTTTATAAACATCAAGGCATAGTAGTAATTACCAAAAGTACTAGTTACAACTATTAGAGATACCCCTAAAGATCCATAAATCAATAACGAGTTTGTAAATGTTTTATTAGGCCCACCAAAAAAAACTATGGACTAATTAAAATCCGTTTTGAAGAACAGGCAGTGTAATATTTTTTTTGAGAAAGAACAGGAAATGTAATCTTGAAATGAGCTAATAATTGATTCTTGAATCAATGGAGTAGCTAGTACCTGCATGTTGTTGTATCTGTTGAATGTCTTGAAGCAAAGAGGACAAGAGAACTGTGTAGGACCAATCAAAATCTGAGCAGGAGTAGGGATCCAATAGTGATGACCTCTGGGTAGATCTCCATGATCATCATCATCATGAAGGTGGGAGTCAACCGTGACCTCTACTCCTTGGTCATGATGATGTTGTTCCTCGGTGGTTCCATCAGGGGCAATATAGCTCTCAATGCTCCCACCATCACCGTAGTTTGGTAACCCTAAATGAAGATCCACGGTCACATCATGAGGATCGTTGAGAAAGTTAGAAGAACTGATCTGATCTGTGTCCATGAAATAGTGTTGATCTTGCTGTTCTTGGTGCCTTGAGGGGCTTAAGCTAAGAAGAGGAAGTGCTTCTCTGAGTGGAGGTGAGTTAGGGAAAGTGGAAGTAGTAGTAGGAGCCATGTTATTAGGATTTGTGGTATTAGGGTAGTAGAAGCTATTGTTAGAGTTGTAAATGTAAGAGAGAGAACTGGAGTAGGTGAAGTTTGTATTGTCAAATCCATTGGTGAAGAGATTAGAACAAGCTGGATTAGACATGAGTTTGAGGAGAAGACAAAGAAGAAGAAAGGCACCGTCGCTATTGTTTATGGGTTTGTCTCACATAGAGAGAGAGAGAGAGAGAGAGAGATGTGAGTATCTATGTATATATATATATATATATGGGTGTGAGAGTGTATATGTATACATGTAATGTTTGAGATGTGACGAAGCGGTGGAAAATATTCATGATGATAAAGAAAGGGTACGGAGAAGGAAGCAGAGAGAAAAGACCCAAGAAGAAATTTGAAGAGGCAAAAAAAAAAAAAAAACTATCTTTGGGACTCGCGCAATGGTGTATCAATGTATGTACGTATATGCACTATAAGTCAAATATTAGATCCTTGTACTTAAAGAACTAGGGTGACAAAAATATACTTAAACATCCTAATCAGTTAAAATTTGGTGTATGGTGTTTTTTTTGTCAACTGGTGTATGGTGTTTATTGATCATTCAATACTAATTGACGTTGTGTGATTACGGTTAGGGTTCGAATCAAACTAACTACATCAACTTCAATCATGATTAGCCATTATAAAAAAAAAAAACAAAGCTGATTTTTCTTATATAATCTTGGGATTAATGTAGCCCTGTTGATTTCGATATTGATCATCAAATAATGAAAATTCCAATTCAAATAAACGGGCTTGAACAAAATAATAGCACGACAACACTTTAATTGATTTATGTATGTCTTTTTGTTTAGAATACGCACACTTCAAATGTAAATCTCAATCAAGATGTAGCATTGACACTAAATCAAACAACTAAGATTCATATCCAATTTCAAGTTTCTTTAATTCTACGATTTAATTCTTAATCTATTAGAGCTAAATGGTCCAATAAATCCACCATATTGGTAGGACTAATTGACGTATGTTTTTAAAAGTTAATCGGTGTCACTGTCAACCCATCAACCAATGAATGCTCTTTCAATTTCATAGGTATAGATTTATTTTGTTCTCTCTTATCTTTTCGAGTTTGTTACGTTGTGATCTAGTAGATATTCTTATAAATTTAACTAACACATAAAATCAAATAAATACTAGATAAAAAATATTAATGTTTACGAAATATAAAAATTTGTAACATCAATAACAAATTTTACACAACAACGATATGAATCAGATTTTACCAATTTTTAAGCTATAATCCACGAATAAAAAAAAAAATAAAAGACTTACTTATACTTTCTAAATGCATTGATATATGTTTTCTATTACTTTTTGAAACTTTTACAATCTTCATTAATTATGATAAATAGTAAGGATTATGATGCAAAACACAAATTATTTTGAAAATCATTAACAAATAAATACTATATTACTCAATAAACCTATATATTTCTATTAATGCTCTTGTATATTATCAATCAATATATTTAGAAAGGATAAATGAGTCTTTTTATTTATATTACAGTATTGAAATCAAGTTATATATTTGTTGTGTAAAATTTAATGTTATAAAGTTTTATATTTGAGGATGGCTTAGCACCCCTCAAAAATGAGACTGGTCTTGGATATGCTCTTAGTTAGCTTTTAAATTTTCAAGGGTTACCATGCGTTCCAATAATGTCACAAGTAAAGTTGGTATAGAAAGGTTAAAATTCGAAATGTGAAATAGTAAACTCAAGATATTAGTCACCAAGACACCAAATAAACCCAATGTACAACAACGTATGAAAGGGATTATGTGCATGAATCAAGGATATGGAGGCTTCTTCTCTACCTCAAACATCGATACCAATAATTATGTATATATTTATTTATGGAGAGAGGTGATATAATGATAAACAATAAAGTGTTGTGGGTATAATATATTGATGGCTTTGGGAAAGGAGATAGTTGTGATCTAAGACAGCACTTGCTTTGGTGGTCTCGTCTCCATGTCGGCTCTGCTTCAGAAACATATTACTTGGGAATGGTAATCCCAATTTCTTATTCATCTACACTTCGATGTGTATTTTACTGTTCTAGTTTACATTATAAATTTGCATTTCTTTTTTGCTTTGTATTTTCTTTTGCTATTTTTTTTCCTTCTTTTCTCGCTAAATTTCATCTACGTCCCGATTCATGCATACGCTTTCTACCACAAAGGATGTTTCTTTCCTTCTGGTACGATTTTAATAAAAAAATATCATGTTTTTGTATAAAGATATATCAAATACAGTCAGAATATTAAAATTAGTTTTTTTTTTCACTGTCGTAGCCTGATACGATAATAGTTTTATGGTCCTCTATAGTCTATACACTGCTCATTTGTTGCTATATATATGGTGCATAATAGGAAGGAAACATATACTAAAGAAAATCTCTATATTATTATTTGAGTAGACATTTAAATAAATAAATTTTTATTTGTAAGATATTATAAAATATTTTATATAAATGAATATTTATTTATAAGAGATTACATAAATAAAATTTTATTTATAAGATATTACATAAATAAACTTTACAAATATAGAAAGCTCAATTAAATATTTCTATGCAAAAAATAGTTAAAATAGAGCTCACAGATTTGTTTTGAATATATATAGATATATGTATTTAGTTTTTTTTACTTATTTAAATATTAAAATATATTTGATTATTTTAAATAATAATCAATTCTGTATATGAAAAAATCTATTTATACTTTTGCAATATTTTTATTTATATTTTCATAATTAATTAGTATCATTTTCGAACATCAATTCAATTATTTTTATAAAAAACTAGACAAACTAAATGAATATCGAAGCATTGTACATAGTAAAAGTGATATTTTCTTAAAGAGTAACCAAAATGTTATAGGTCTTAGTTTTTGTCAGCGGAATGATGACTATACCTTATCAGATTAGTTTTCTTCAATTTCATCGTCAGTATTCGAACTCGAAGTCGTGACTTTAGGTTCCCTCCTTTGGAAGGTCAGCTAGGATTAATTTCAATTGAGTTACCGATGCTAGATTATTACGATGTAATATAAAGATAGTTTTCATGCTGTTTGCTGATTGTAAGATCAATGTGAAAATGGGTCAACGACCGTGATTTTTAAAGTTATTGTGTTGGTGGCAATGTGTGTGAACTCGAAAGAACTTAAGATAAAACTCCATCTTATTTTGACTCATAGTTTACTTTGAAATTATTAATTATTAGGGAATATTAAAACATGAGATGTTCCCGAGATAGCACGAGTGTGAATGTTTTGTGGTTGCACTTTGCAATTGCATCAGTACGTTCTTTTAAACCGTCGCTTGTCTTCTGTTTCTTCGTTGTTCTCTCTTCTCCAAACATTTTTATCTATCTATGCACCGCATTATATTAAGAGTATACAACTTTTTTTTTTGTTAAAGAATATATTAATAAAACTTAATTTTGATATTCTCTTACACTTTTCTAGTAACGTATATGTATATATATATATATTATACATGCATGTGTGTGTAATTTGTATAAGCATAATTAAGTGTGATGGTTATCATCATATCGATCAAACTTGGGATTAATTCTCGTTCAAAACATACCTCTATAAGTTTCCCAGCAGCTTCTGAGGATATAGAATATGCTTATGCCTCTTGTCAATTGTATAGATTAGGAAAGTAAATCATATCTAAAAGATAAACCATTGTCTTTCCTGTATATTCATCATATTTGATGGCTTAATTTTTGAAGATAAAAAGGAGTACTAATTATGTTTGCTTTCGTAGGGACTCAAAGATCTTATATGACTGCATTTAAGGATTTGCAACAAATTCTCACTTTCAAAACTTTTTTTTTTATCACTTTCAGAACTTATTAATATATTTCTTCTGTTTCGTTTTACCTTTAAGAAATGTTTTGTATAAACGCAAGAAATTCTTTAAATATTTTCTATGCCTTTACTATATTTTGGTTTTTGAACTTCTTTGACCATAAGTATTTTTATATTATAGAAAATAAGTAAAATAAATTAGATGTACCAAAAGTAGAAATAAAATAATATGAAACCAACGAAAAACTCATAAAACGAAATGGATAAAACACTCCCTAGTTATAATGCTATTGACACAAGAAATAGGAAGCTTTTAGTGTATTCTTCTTCGCTTCTTTATTCTTTTCGAAAATTTTCAAATAAATTATGATCTCAGCTATTTAAAATACATTTTTTTTTTGTCGTCAAAATACATTTTAAGATAATTAATTTGAAATCTCAATCACGTCTTACAACCATTTTAAAAAAAGAATATTTTAAAACATAATATTAGTTGTCTTGTATATATATATTTTTTTGTTTATGCAATTATGCCACCAATTTTACTACAAAATATACTAAATACCTGAAAACATTCATTCACCTTTAATCTCGAGATCTAGGCACTGAACATGCATTTATAGTTGTATACGTTGTTTATGGAATGAAATCTATGATTTTGGTAAGTAAATCATCAAATCTTTGTCATTAACGAAACAAATAATTTCATTTGATGTAGATGCAACGAAAAAACTACGATACATACAGTAAAACCTCTATAAATTAATACTCGATATATTAATAATCATTATAAATTAATAAATTTTACCGATCTCAAGTCGGAGCAATGTAAAAATCTATCAAATTCGATAAGATAATAAGATAATAATTTTTTTTGAAACTTTTATGTAAATTTATGGTCCCAACAAAAATATAAATTAATAATGATATAAATTTATGCAAATATATATAAATACAATATTCTAAAATATGACTAATGTGTTTGTTTTTACTTAAAGTTGAAATCTCATTAGTTCTCATCTCTCTAATTATTATATCAGTAGCTTTTATTGCTCTTTCACTACATACATTCAACATTTATGATGATTTTTTGATGTGATAATTGATTTTCTTACTTTTAAATGTTTTTAAATGTATTGTATTGTTATCTTCATTTTTATCATCAGTAATACTGATAGTAACCATGATTTTTTTTTTATAAATTTTAAACTTATGAACATGTATATTTAACATGGACAATCCAATATGGTGTTAAAAACTAATTTATTGTAATA